GCCGAGTCGAGCCCACGAGCGGCTCGCGAGCTCGTGAATTTTTTTTATTTTCTTTTTTTTTTTGCAAATTTTTCAATTTTTTTTGATAAAATTTTAATTTTTTCCACTTTTCTAGACGAGCCGGCTCGTGAGCTCGGCCCACGAGCCGCTCTCGGCTCGAGCTTGGGCTCATTATTTGACGAGCTCGAGCAGCCCACGAGCCGAGCTTTGACGAGCCGCGAGCCGGCTCGGCCCATTTGACATCCCTATTAATGGGTATGATCGGCATGAACACATAGTCAACATCAACCCAGTGTGAGCTAAAATGGAGGTTGTGACCTGTTACAACCTCAAGTAGGCTCAACTCTGACATAAGAACATTTGGGTCCTTTATGAAGGCAGGAAAAATGTCTTTTATTTTAATCTGGAGCCATGAGTTTGTGGTGATGGCCTTGTATTTCACATTTTTACCAAATTTTGCTACCTGGCGAATGAAGTAGAAGCAGGTATCCATGTGCTTTTTCAATGAGAAGAAAAGATGTAAGCATTGCGTACAACAGATTGGATATGAATGAATCTGTGACTAGTTCTAATATGAAATATGACATGTTTGTATCATCTCTGGTACTCTTCTTAAGAGGTACGAAAGAAATCAGAATTCTAAAAAGAGTAATGTAACTTAATTGAGTGTGTAAATGTAATTGTACCGCACCACTCAGTGATGACTCCGAATTTATAAGCTCGTGGTCTTATGACCTACTGGGAATGAACCAATTAGAAAAGCAGGCTTGATGGCGTCGTCTTCCTCACTAAACTTTTTCCTGTGACCGACACTAAGGGTTACATTTTTTTGTCAAAACTGTGTATTAAGTAACTTTTCACAAATATGTACGAAATTCACTTACTTGTTTTTTGTTTTGTGCCCCCTCTCGAACCAACCCATGAAGGCCGATTTGTCAACCTCGTCAACATTGTCTTTGTAGTCGTAAAAAATGACAACATTATCGTTGTGCTTGAATAATTTTCCCCTCTCCTGTCCGGCAATGAAAGGAGACTGCAATACCCTCACTGGCCTTAAAACCCGCTTAATTGGTAATTCCGAGGTTGGTTCAACAGTAGGTGATCCCTGTATGTTATTACTATAGGTTACAAATTGATTGAAAATACGACACATGAGCTGTCTGTGGCATAGTTTGTGAACATGTTTGGTCTGTCACCTATACATGTGACTTGTTCTGAATGTGTCTGTGACCTGTGACATATGATTGGAAGATAGTTTGGAAGGGTGTGTGGCCCGTGACCTATTAATATAACATGGTTTGGAATGTATGTTATCTGTGATTTATGAATAGGATATGGGGTGAAGGAATCTGTAATCTGTTACCTAAGAATGTGACATGGTTTGGAACTGTGTCTATGACCTGTGACCTATGAATGGGACATGGTTTGAAGGTATCTGTGCTCTGTGATCCATGACTGGAACATGTGTTGGTATTGTGTGTGATCTGTGACCTATGAAAGGGACATGGTTTGGAATGTCTGTGAATTGTTACCTATGAATAGGACATGATCTGAAGTGTGTGTGATCTGTGACCTAATAATATAACATGGTTTGGAGGTATGTGTGATTTGAGATCTACAACTATTGGAACATATAAATACCTCATTCTCTACAGTCTTTGTTGCGGTCACCACATCAGATATGATGGAATCTACCCTCTTCTGAGTTTCCTCTGAATGCAAAACATTGGGTGGGGTGAATTCAATCCCCATATCAAATGATGGTGGCTCAAAGGAGAAGAGAAGATCATCACTTGGGTCCATTTTGCCCTTCCCTTTTCTGTCGACGTTTGATACTACGTTTTCCACCTACATGTTGAATGGAAAATGTCAAAATGAACTATGTTATTTTACAGAAATGTGAAATATATCAAATGACTACCTTCTGAGCCTTTTCAGATCCACCAGCCCCATGATGTTCTTGATCACCAACTCCAGGAACTTCTTTTTGTCATACTCCACGGTCGCTTGTTTTGTCACCAGACCGTCTAATGATCTCGTCCATTGCACTGGATATCATTATTGACACAGACTCAGATAGAAACTGCATGTTCGTCTGAATATCCATTAGGTCATTTTTAATACAGGCTTGCATTTGAATAATGTCATCCATTTTGTTAGTCTTCCCTTCGTTCAAAGATGACATATGTGACTTGATGTCTTCAAGCTCCGCCTTCAACACTTTATCATCTGCCTGGAGTTCGGATACTTACACACACAACACCTCAAAAGTTTGACAAAAATGAATAACTGATTATTATATGTTGCTTGCGAAATATCTTTGACCAACCGTCAACATACAATGCACATTGGTATATCTGTGACTTGATGTGTATGAAATATGACATAGGAAATATTAATGTGTGACCAATAATGGAAATATTGAGAGTTGACTAACATAACAACTTACGTCATCCCGTTGTGCTCCATGAGATTGTGGCTCCTCTTGAGAATGATGAGCGGCTGTTAGACCTTCAACAACGGGGGATTTTTCATGGGCGGATGACTCCTGCCGTCTTGAAGAAGGAGCAACAAAATTGTCTTCATCATCTAAAGAGTGAGCTTGTCCAATATTACTGTCCATCAGCGGTAGGACTGATGGAATGGACTTTCCGCTAGTACCAGCATCTTCAACAGACCTCTCCATCCTGCGCTTGATTCTTCTTCGGCTCTCGGATGAGGACGTCGGCTGGATTGGCTTGTTGTACTGGACTCCGTTCATGTATGGCATCGCCATTTCACTTTCCAACGGTTCCAAGTCACAAATCACAATCTGCAATACAATATGTAGTTTCTATGAATGCAAAGTAAAAAATTTGATATTGATTACATGATGCTTACTGGAACTTTACCTTAGGATCGAAGAAGCAGTCGGGTCCTTCCAATTTGGCAGCTGATGGTTACTCATCTGCCATCAAGTTTACAATGCGATGATGCACCCTCGATATCCTTGTGACCACGATGCCATCAAGACCGAGAAAAGTCTCGTATATCTATGCTTGGAAGGCTACAAGCATTCCTCGTAACCTGTAGTATGGGGTCCTCCTGCTGAGTCCATCTCTCAATGCACCCAGAGTAATTTGGAATAGTAGCTTGCCCCATAAAAAATTGTTTATTTCATTAAAGTCCTCAACGAGAACAAATAGGAAGTGGTCGACAACCTTCTTGTAGTCACGGGGAAAGAGATAGGCAGTTAAAAAATATAAAACCCCAAACATTGCAACGTCATTGTCTGGTAGGGCTTCAATCAGATCAAGGTCAAGCATTTCGCATGCAGACAGAAATGTGTCCTTTACATCTTCATGTGTAACAGCATCTACTAATGAAAAGTACTTGGCCTTCAACTTTGACTGCCTATTTTCAAAAACCTGAGTATCTGTATCGCCTGAACATCTCAGTCCTATGACCAAATAGAACTCAAATATAGAGAACCTGACGTATTTCCCGGAAACATAAAACCATATTTCTTCCTCATTCGGGTGCCGAACCTACCTCAGAAGGAATTAGTGAATCAACTGTGGTTGAATCACTATTTCATGGCAATCCAGGAAGTGGGCAAAGCATGTGCCCTTCAATATCTGTTTTTAGCTTTGGCTTAACTTTGATTGTATAGTAGTAAGAACACCCTTGTACACAGAGGTGGTAATCTTGCCTGGAAACCAACTTTTTTCAGATATTTTGAATTGTCATACCTATATAAAGTGTTAATAATTATAAAATTGTTAAGTACTTGTATTGTAATTCGGAGACAGAGAAAATGAAATGCATTTAGGTGAAATGGTCACATATAGGTTAAATTCAGGTCACATATATGTGAAATGGTCACATATGGACATCATATTACTAAAGTGCATCATCAACCATGTTAATAGTCAGCTCACAGGCATACAAGGTCTTCTCATTCACAGGCATATTACTAGACATATATTTTTCATTCGTTTTTAACTTTGGTTTGGTCTTCAACCATTAGAGCCACAACTGTGATACAAAGTAGTAGCTGTATATGTGAGTGTCTTTGCATTGAGAATACTTGGTCACATATAGGTGAAATGGTCACACATGGACATCATATTACTAAAGACACGTCATCAACCATGTTAACAGTCAGGTCACAAGCATACTAAGTCTTTACAGTCAGGTCACATATTCACAACAAACTTCAGTCTCATTCACATATTAAGATCACATTCAGAGCCCTATCCCCATTACAGTAAGGTCACAGGCAATCATATCCATATGCATTTACGTCACAGATTCCCAATAAATGCGTATTCGTGAATAAACAACAGATTATTCATAACATCGAAAACGAAAAATCAAATGAACAAACATTCTGCGTTCAAAACCACAAACCATACCCCATTCGAACGACGGAACGAATTCAACATATTTCAAGGTCACAGATCTTCAATACGTCTTCAATACATGTTACCGAACGATTATTCAATTAATACCGTCACTTAATGTATTAACAGAACATAAAAATCAATATACCATGTTCGATTGGACTTTCCACAAGGTCACAGACGATGCCGCATACTTTTCCATATGGGATTTCATTAGGCTTTCCTCATGCTTCCTCTTTCCTCTCCTTTCAGGCGTGGAATGGACGTTTATCGCCTTGGGTTTAGTCATTTTTTTGTCGGCCATAAAATGGAAAGTTTTTTGACAGAGTGATGGGGTAGACGAAGATGTATTCAATTCACTTTGGGTATGTGACGAAGATTAGTTCCTTGACAGGTCGGAGTGAGATAACTTACCGGAGATATTCGTGGGGTTGGTAACTGTTGGAATAGTCTATCAGAGATCGTGGGGAGAAGTTTGGGGCAGTTTCACTGGTTTGATAGAGAATGAAGAAAGATTAGATTTGAAGCCCGTTAACTACAGTATCGCGCTTATTTTAAATAAGTAATTTTTATTTAATTAGTCTAATACCGAACATTTGACTAGAATAGTTGGGCCCATGATTTATGCACAGTAAGCTTGAAATCCCTGGAAGGGTGTAATTTCCTCAAGTTGGAACATAAATACAATATGGGCTTTTTTCCAGGTATGGGTCTGATAAAGGTTAAAAGACCATTTTGCCTTTTTCAAAATTGGCCATTTTTGGTCTGTGACGGGCCAATCCTTAAAAAAAAGAAATAAATAAATAAAAATGTAGCTATTACCAGCATGTGCCTTTTTTGTGTTAAAAAAAAGTGACCTGGGCGTGAACCCAACTCGGCTCGATAAGGCTCGAGTCGAACTTGTAACTCGACTCGGCTAAGGTCAAAAAAAGCCCGAATAAGTTTTACTCAAGTCAAGCTTGAACCTCAAGTTTCGATCCATTGGCATCCTTAACACAAAGTCAACTTTTGAGGTTGAGTCGATTTTGACCAAGTTGCGTGATTATTGATCATACTGGGGTTCGTTTATTTGAAAAAGAGAAAACATATTTACGAAAATACCTTTTTTAAGACAATTTAAAGAAAATAAATAACCGTCTGTTAAAATAATAATAAATAAATAATGGAAGTCAACAATTGACAGCATTTGCCTAGATCCCTTTGCACCTTGCAAAGATCTTCGACCGGGGGATCTCTACACTCGGCTCAATCCTCGCCATTCCTTCTGTGAGTATTAGCTGCTGATCTCTCTCTTCCCACTTTCAAACCATTGCATTTCAGAACCCTAGGTACCTGGTAATTTCATAGCTCGATTTTTTGATAGCTACTAATTATAGCTCGGTATAATTCTCATATTACCGTGAATTCTTAGGGTTGTAGTCTTTTTATTGGATAAAATTTTGTTTCTCTTTTCATTTAGATCCTCTTTTTGGTGTATAAAGGAGGCCGATATTGAATGATGTTTTACTTGTGCATTTTTTGGGATTGAATTTTTAGATTCCTTGGTATTTCGTCAATTTTGCGTCTGGCCTGCGATCTCATTGCAGTAGCCCAAGATGTTACGTGTTCTTTTGAATTTCTATAGTTAGTGATCATCAACTTTAGCAAATGATATAAATTTTACTTGATGGGTCTTTTTTTATTCGACTTCCGGTTACAGTTCTGATGTGACCTTGGTGAGGAAAGTATTGATTGGTAGGCTAGATTTCACCAATAAGAGTCTTTTTGTGATCTGATTCTAAGAATGACTGCTCATGTTCTATCTAGCACAATTATATGGGACCATTAAGTTGCAATGATTAAAAATTTCGTTGATGTATTTTGTTATGTTCTTATCGTCACAATCTTATGATGTTAAAGCACGTATCTTCAACTTTTGCTTGTCTATTCGACAAAATACTGAACTAAGTGTTATAACATTGTGTTATGTTCATAATCTAGAGAATAAATTTCATGTGAAAGACTCCTGAATCCTGAGATGTTATCAGGTTGAGTTGTAGAAAATTCAGGTCTTGAAAACTTTTGTTTAACTCCACCTGACAATTTTGTTAGATTGAGGATCCACGTATATTCTTTACATTTTTTTCCTTAAATTTTCCTCTTAATGCTTTGTAAATTGTAATACATGGTTTAATTCATTGGAGTTGGTAGTTGCAAAGATGGGGCTGTCTTTCACCAAGCTTTTCAGTCGGCTGTTCGCCAAGAAAGAGATGCGCATACTGATGGTAGGTCTTGATGCTGCTGGTAAAACGACCATTCTCTATAAGCTCAAACTTGGAGAGATTGTCACAACAATTCCTACCATTGGTATGTTTCAGACAGTTTGATGTTTTCATTATATTTTACCCTCCATAATTGGGATTCGACTTTACAATGCACACGTCTTAAAAGTTTAATGGTACATGATCCTCCAAGATATTTTTATTTCTCTCTTGTGATTTGATCATTCCCTTCCATTCTCAAAATTTCTCTATACTAGACCTTGGCATTGCAACAGATTTTTATATTTACTTCCTAAGATGTACATGCGAAGGACAATCTTTATCTGAAAATACTTTCTTTTGCAGTTTCATTTGTTAGTGACTGGCATTTCCCTCCTAAATTTTACTTATATTTTATAGCATAAATTAAAGCTGGTCCTTTTATCCTCGAGAATTAGCTTTTCAATGATATTCAGAATTAAATCCCCATTTCTGTTGTGACGGATCCTATTGGTATGAAACTAAATCTTATTAAAATGTTTACACACATTTCTATTTATATATACAAACATTTTTAGTTATCTATTTTGACCTACCTACTCTTTCCTGGAGGGTGGGTCTTTTGGTGGGGTTTCCTGCGTTTTAACCTAAATTTTATGTAAAGCATTTTAACTTGACTTATGATGGAGAAGGATATTTTACTTTTACTACTATGTCCATCTTGTTTTGTTTTTTCTAAATTGCTTCAAGTAATCTAGAGCATATTGCTTCATATCATCTGGAGGCATATGGTTTCATGTTTTCTCTATTTTTCGTTAGAGGTATATATCAGGTTTATTGTCAAAGCAATTTCTAAACTGAAATGTTATGTGGTCAGGATTTAACGTGGAGACGGTGGAATACAAGAACATTAGCTTTACGGTTTGGGATGTCGGGGGCCAGGATAAGGTATTCATTTATGGATTTACTCTCTTTCCCCCTATATATGAAGTCGCATGATCTTTGATAATGTTGTGTTGATGAATTTATTCCTATCTTCAATATGACCTTGGAAGGAGAATTCTGTAAATTTATGCACTTTCGAAAGCAGAAGAGTTTATCTGAGGGTTTCATTTTGTTTGCCTTCTTTTACTTGAACCAAGTAAAAAATAATACAGCAGCTACTGAAGTTATTTAAAGCAGTTCACAAAGTACCACATAGAAATGATTTAATTGCATAAGCTTGTCCAGTAGTCCAATGGCGTGCAGATGCTCCTCAAATAGTTGTGATTGGAAAAGTGTTACTCTAAATACCGAGTAACCTTTCCTATTGGTCTATGCATCTGTCTGTGATAACTGTGCTATATATAGAAGAAAGATTGTGAATCTGTGATAGAATTAAGAGGTTGATTCAGAAATGTAATTGCTTCATTCACTAACAGGAATAAATGTCAAGTCCTGTTATTTCATAAACACAGATCTAGCATTGAACTGTCCAGATGATAAGGTGCATAAAAGAAGCTTGAATTTTATTAGACCTCCGTGAATAATGAATACCCTGTGGCATATCTTGTATAAAGAAAATGAGTGCCATGTTTGTGCTGGTACTTGCTTGTTCAGAAGTCAAGTCAGCTGTTGCATTTGTATTCCTTTAAAATTCAACAAAAATTTTCCAACATGCAGTCTCATTCACATTTGCATGCTAACATTTTGCATGAATTTTTGCAGATCCGTCCATTGTGGAGACATTATTTCCAAAATACTCAGGGACTAATCTTTGTGGTTGATAGCAATGACCGAGATCGTGTTGTTGAAGCAAGGGATGAGCTGCACAGGATGTTAAATGAGGTAGAAGACTCTTGATTCCTGAAACAGGGTTAAAATACGATGAAACATATAACTTTACATATAAAATGTAACAATAACATGTAAATCGATTTGTAAACGAAACTTAACTTACCATGTATTGCATAAGATTTTGCAAATTACTCATTTTCATTTTTATCTTTTCTCTACGTTTGTGTGGTGCTTGTCTATCAGGATGAATTGAGAGATGCAGTGCTGCTAGTATTTGCAAACAAGCAAGATCTCCCGAATGCAATGAATGCTGCTGAAATAACTGACAAGCTTGGCCTTCATTCTCTCCGCCAGCGACACTGGTAACTAGTAGTTGTATCTGTACCCTTTGTCTTTAAATTAGGTGTAACATTCTACTAATGGTACTCAAAATGCAGGTACATTCAGAGCACATGTGCCACTTCTGGTGAAGGTCTTTATGAGGGGTTGGATTGGCTCTCAAACAACATTGCAAGCAAGGTGCGGCGTGTAGATGCTTAACAGCATTTTGAATCTTTTGTTTGCATATTTAATTCTTTGGGTGCTCCTGATGTTTATATTAATTGCAATTTGCAGGCTTAGAGTACTATTGTCTGAGTGCTGGAAGAAACCTTAATTTCTTTGTCGCTTTGAACTTTTGCTTTTCTGTCAAAATTTGGTTCTTCTTTTGCTAAGGTTGAAATCTGATTCTTGTACTTGAGAATAATTCATAGATTTTTGTCGGTTCTTTAGCATCTTCCTGCTATATATTCTCAACCGAGTCTTTTCCATAATCTGCTATTAGCGTACTACAGGGAATCGATTCCTTTTCTCCTAATTAATCTGGACGTATTATTGCTTCTCAGGATAATCCATCCAGGTAAAGTTTAGATCCACTGATAGTGTTAACACATCGGCTCATGCACTCCTGATATTAGCTGTTAAATATCATTTGGATTCGGGTGGGTCAAATTTTAGAACCCGAAGGTGTACGATGCCATTGAGCCCTTGTCAATCCATAACGGCTTGATTTCGTACCATTTGGTGCCATATGATGGGTGATTTTTGTGTCTAGGTGACCAGATTGAGAATAGATTAAAGAAAAGATGATTGAGAATAAATAAAAGAAACAACTGTTATAAGTCAAGGGCATTTTCCTTTATTAGTGCCTGTTTGATTCTCATCACTGGGGGGAAATGGAGTTTCAAATAGTATTTTTTAAGAGAACGTGTGGCTAAAAAGTATAAAGAAGTCTTCTGTATATGTGTAGAATTAATGGGAATCAGACATGTCTCGAGCAAATTGCGTCTTTAAAAGAGAGCCGGGCCCAATATTTCACAAGAATAGGAAGGATTAAAACTCTCTTACCCAATATTTATTATTATTTCCTCCTCGATCACGGGAAGGAGAGAACCAACGTCAACTAAATGATAAGATTTAGCATTACTGAAAGCATAATATGTGTTCTTCCAGTACAGCGCTTTGATATCAGTACAAACTCTAAATATCATTAATTTTCACAAGAATGAAACCCACAATATCAACAACTTAGCCTTTCCTATCTCCCTCTCGACTTAGGAGAGTTATGGAAACTGCTATTATGTTTTATTAAGCAGCAGATGGAGCTGCCACGTAGTGCACGGCCGATGCCTTCGCCTCCGTCATAGCTGCTGCAACCAGTGGCTGCAAAGCCACCGCCTCCAGACGGGTTCCATCGGACACCACCGGCTCTGGTTTCTTGTAATCCAATGTCTCATCATCGTAAATTTCCCACCACTTCTTCACCAGCATTTTTATGTCTTCTCTTTGCATGTTCACTTCTTTTCCTGTGTATCTCCAAGGCTTTGAACCCTGTTTACATAAATTAAGGCCAATAGTTACTAGAATGAATACATTAAAACAACACGTTATGTGCATATTGATGAAAATATGCAGGCAAAGATCTTGGCATCAGATGACTTACCGCTGCACAGTAATGCACAACCTTCACTTTGTCAAGCTCAACATTCTCCGGATGACACCATAACATTGCAAGAACAAGGTTGTACACATTAGGAATCGGCTTATATATATCCTTAAAATACATGTTCAAGAAATCCTGCCACAAATTATATATCACAACTTTTCCATTAGTCTCTCAATTCTAAACAGACAGATATCAGTGTCGATATTGTACATAGTCAAGTCTGGTCGAAGTCTAAATTTTAACCTGTTCAGCAAAAGGAGTGGGAGGAGTGATTTTTAGAGTCTTCAAGAGGTCCTCATAGGTTGCAAGACTCGGCTCAAACACAAACATCCCAGCGTTGAAGTAAAGGGAAGGTGGAAGACCCATCTCCGCCGGCCACTTCACTTTTTCCGGGCACTGTTGGCAGTACCCAATATTGTACTGCGGTGTGTGACTCCATGTTTTCTCACAGAAACAATCCATTACAGCATAGAAATGGCCATCAGGCAAGTCAAAGAGGCTGTCAATGTTATCATATACTTGAATATCACCATCCAAGTATATCATTTTACTGTACTCCACAAACTGCATCATAAACCAAAAAGTTCAGAGCCATCAAATACGAAAGTGTACCTTAACAAACGATAAAGCAACTCTGTAACACACATACCTCCCATATACGAAGCTTGGAATAGTTGATGACATAATACGCCATGGCAAATTGGGTCTGGTTATCAGGTGGGTATACCGGCTCAATTTCCTTAACAATGCAGCCTTGATCCTCCAGTATGCGGCGGTGCTCCTCCGGGACATCCGGCAGCACCGCCACTATAAGAGGATATGCAGTTTTCACCTTTCTTAAACCCTTAATTAACCCAACAACACCCTTCACGTAGTCACCATTTCCAGCCAAGAATGTTACGAAGGCCCTGCCCGAGAAAGAAGTTGGCTGAACAAAATTAGTTGGTTTTACACCTGATGCAACGAGTTCAGGAGCCATAATTATAACTTCAAGAGTGAATTACTAATAACAAGATTTAAAAGAATAAATTCAGATACGATGCTGTGAAAAGATTAAAGAGGCTTCTTAAGAATAAAGGGAAAAGAGAGATGTTTCTTAGGGAGCAGAGGCTATAGGGTTGTGTTCTCTCTTCAAGTTCGTAATGGGAATGGTGTTTATATAGCGGTGAAACGAGGCTACATTATGTACGGGTATGTGAATCAATTTTTTTGAAAATTTACATTATCGGTTCTCAACCTATTATCCAAATAACTTGTTGGTCTTTAAATATCAGATATGAGCATGTCAGTCCACTTTATGGTTAGAAATTCAATCTCTAACAATGAAAAATCGTAAGGTTGATATTCATGCGTAACTTTATGAAGTAAGGTTTTGTCAATGAACTTAAATCGAGTCATTTTTATAAGGACCATATGTAAATTCAATGATGATTTTAGATATCTTCTGCTGTCGGAGATTGTGAGGATCAACTGAGATTATAAATTTTCTACCCCCTTGACTATCCCTCAAATTGCATTTTTCACACATCATCACCACCTTTGTTCTTAATAAATGGAAAGACGTCTACATATTTTTTAGCCCTTGTTTCAGCCTTTATTTTTTTTTTTGGTGTGGTTCAAAATTCATTTTGAAAGAGTATTTTATCGAAGAATATGTGATTTAAAAAATAAAAAAGTGAATTTGTTTGTAAAATTATTTTGTAAGAGAATGTTTGATTAAAAATGTGTTTCGAAAAAATGGGGACCAAACATGGAGCTTATATCTCAACGTATACCTTAGCGTCTTTCCATTGTTAAGAATGAGTGACTTGCCAAGTTGTCTAAAATATATTAAAAAAAGAATTAGGGATTACAAGTTCAAACAATATATTACAACCCAAATCAACTTGCAACTTTTTAAAGTTGAAAAACAAATTTGTTACTTAAGTAATAAATTACGGACCAATGATGCAAAATTTCTCTATTTTTTATCTTTCAAATATTTGATTCCTATGACTTTGAGTTGCGTGCCGACACGTGTCCCCTGTCGACGGTGGACAAGGGGGTTAAGGGAAGTTTCTCGAAATGAAGACGCTAGAAGACATCACTTATTTCGGGCTAGGGCTGAGCGTACGGGCCGGAGGAGGCCCGCGTTTACCTGTAATTTTGTTATTGACCTCGTCACGGGCTGTGTTATTTAGCTTCCACTTGAAAAATTATATATATATAAACAATTTAATTTATAAATAGATAAAAATAAATTATCGATCGTTCATATATTTATTTATAAGTAATTTATAAATTTTATTAAATGGATAATAAATTTTAAAGTACTATAAAGATATGAGAAAAAGGAAAAAAAGGAGACCTAACAGAATTTGCTAATTATATATTATTCTCATCGATTAGGTAAGTAAAATTAAGCAATTAATTAATTGCATCGTGTTAAAACTGATCAAAACACGTTTAATTTTCTAATTTTAACCCTGGTTGAATCCGTATTACATAATTTTATTTTAGCGTACAATCTGAACTCTATATTTTTTAGAATCTCGTCAACTTTATTGTTAAAACTCATACATCATAGGTCACAAGAATGTGGGACATTTTAATGGGACACCATAGTCACTCTGTGTGATTGAATTGCTATATTTACTAAAATTTTGAGCGAAAAATATATTTAATTGATTTTAAAAAAATGAGAATCAATTAAAAAGTTCTTGTTTGACTCTCATTTTTTAAACTCGTTATTCTCAAAATTTTAGCTCTTGCTTGAGCCTCATTCTTTAGAAAAAAATGTATTTTTTAAATAGTATTTTGACATCATTTTAATCGCATATTATTCAATAAAATAATATTACACGTAAATCCTAAATTTTTTTATTCTTTTTAAACCACACATTTTACATCAATACAGTATTCAAAAATTCATTTTTTGCTTTATAATGGGACTCAAACAAGGGCTGCAATTCTTAGTTCACGTGACCTAAAACTTTTATTGATTTTAAAATTATATACATGCAACAATTTTTTATCAAGAAAAAACATGGGCATAGTGGACTAATTCTCAAGGTTTTTTTTTCTTTTCTTTACTTTTTTTTTTTTTTTTGTGACCTAAAACTTTTATTGATTTTAAAATTATATACATGCAACAATTTTTTATCAAGAAAAAACATGGGCATAGTGGACTAATTCTCAAGGTTTTTTTTTTTTTTTTTTTTTTTTTTTTTTTTTTTTTTTACATTGCTTCTAAGAACTTTCTTTTAGCACCTATCTGATTTTGATAAAAATCAACTTTTTAGTAAATTTCGTGTAAGTTTCATGAAATATACGATTTTTAAAAAAAAAAATTTAAAAATGGGGTCAAATATGAACTTAATAGCAAGCTAAGGTATTCACAATTGCATTTCGATGCTAAAGTTTAATATTGCTATTATAGTTATAAAGGGGCTTTAAAGATGACTCAGAGTACAAAAATACATTTTAAGGACCAAAACAAAATTTAGCCTCCATTTGAAAAGAATTTATAAGTAGATAAAAATGAGCAGTAAAAAAATACATAGTACTTATCCGTATATTGAAAATGCGTTGTTCAAAATAAAATTTGATTAGTTTATAAAATGATTTATAAATTTATCAAACAGAAACTTAATTGTATAATTATAATCAAAAATCAAGAATAAATGAGGTAATATAACTTTCGATTCTCAGACTCAAAAGTAATTAAATTTTAATCAAAATCAAACACGAAATTGAGGGTTGTTAAATGAATCAAAACGAGATGCTTGTTTTCGCCCCCTTTTTAAAAATTAAACCAAAAACTCAAGCACGCATGATCTATAAGAATATTTAGCTGCTCGAGCTCGCAAGTGAGACGAGCCATTTACAATATTAACACAAAATGTCAAAAGATTACGCCTTATCAAATGGAAGTAGGAGTGAAATTGATTTCTCCTCTCCCCTACCTTACCTAAACGGCACCGTACACCTAAGTTGAACAATGTGTATCAACATTTAATCCATATTCAACAATGCTTCATGTACATTATAATGTAAAACTTTTTGTACACTCCATCACGTGTCAAACTTTGATTTGACAGTTTTTTTTTTTTTTTTAAAGAAGACTTTCTATCAAGGGTTGTGCTGTGTGTACACAATGGTGTACACACAGGCTTAAACCCCCCTCACATGGAGGAAGGCTCACATGTAATAAAATATTTGTGGGCCTTCCTCCATGTGAGGGGTAGTGTAAGGCTATGTGTAAGCAGCACTTTCCTTTTATCAATCACATGTTGTCAACTTGGATAATGTGCACAATTATGTACAAACAGTGTGTACCAAGTGGCTTTATTTATCCATATTTGTTTAAAGGATTGGGATTATCATAATGAGTTTCTTATTTTCTAAAATTTGTTAACCAAGGTATAGGAATACGATTATGGTAGATTCCATCCATGATAATGACACAACATTCTTTAATAGCAGCTAAAGTGACCCCAATGAATTAATTTTGTTCCTTATTTTAGTAAATAATATTTAATATACAGTTATTATATTGGTTTTTTTGAAAGCAAAAAAAAAAAAAAATTCAATTTCATTTTGAAATATTTAACCCAATGCCATACCAAAATTTCAATAACGAGGGATCCAGCCTGATCATCCACCTTGTCATAAGAACTAATAATTAAAACTCAGAAAATCTCAATTAATTATAATTTACTATCTATGTTAGTCAATTTGTTAGTCCCCTTTATTTTAATTAACATCACTATCCTTCGTGAGCGTTTAAAATTAATAGCAATCTAACGTAGATAAAAAATATTTAACTTACACACCAACATGTATGCCAATCGTAGAATGCAATTAAAGATGTTCATGTCTAAATTAAAAGGCTTTTCAGTCACTAGGTGTCATACATACCTAAATGGGACTAACAAAGTAATCAGCGTTGAAAATAATTGAAATTTAGAGATTTAATTGCAATAAATTAAAGTTTAAAGATTCAATTAAGATTTCACTGAAAGTTCGGTGATCAATAACAAAATAACCTTAAATAAAACAATTAATGAATCGGCCAATTTACTAACAATAATGCTACTTGTGTATAAGAAGTTATAGAAATGTTATCTGCGTAAATAAAGAAAAGAAAAAAAAAACCTAAGATTATAGAAAAATATTTGTTATACATCACCATTCACATAATCTTTTATGAGTGATTGGCACAAAACGTCCCTATTTTTCAAGCTTATTGTGGAAAATATCCACACATTTCATTTTTTGACATTTTTGTCCCTACCTTCCACATTTCTTTGCGTAGAAGGTCATTTTCATCAATTTTTGACAATTTTACTCTCCATTCAAATAAAACAAAAAGAAAAGAAATGGAAAAATAAAAAACTAATTGCAACCATAGTCCCAAATTTTAAAAAAAATTAATATTTAAAATCAAAATCATCAAATCACCCCATCCCAAGCCACCAACACACCGCTACCTACCGCCACCACCTTACCCGCTCCCTTCATCTTCTTCCCACATATATATACATGCCCATTGTTCTACTGATTATAATCCTATATATATATATATAGTGGGTGGGTGGGTGCGTGGGTGGGGGAGCGGGCATGTATGTAGATTTAGGTACACTTTAAATACGCTTTGACTTCAAATTGGGTAGACAATCAAGGGTACAGTACATCAAAAGGCAATCTCTAACTTCCCAAAAATTTCATCTTTTTTGTCCTAAACTCTATTTTCATTCATTGCACAAAATTCAGTTCTGGTTTTTGTTGAGTTTTATTTTGAACTGTTAAAAACTATGAAATGAGTATCTTTTTCTATAATAAGTTTGAAAGATTTGAACGTTTTGTGCCAATTACCCATCTTTTATAGATTAATAAGCTGTCAAAAAAAAGTTGGAGGGTATTTTTACATATTCTTTGATAAATGATGAGGTGACATGCATTTGACATTGATTTGAATAAATGGTCAATGACACTTCATCAGAAGATTTTGAAAGAAACTTTGACGTAATTGTATGTGGAAGAAAGTGATTAGATGGAAAATCTTATTGTATTTAAAATTGTCCAGTGATAAAATGTTACGTGACATTATGTCAAATTTTATGTTCATGTAGCATGATTTAATTT